AATTACACCGCTAACGGTGTTAATATTTTTCTGTGTGTGGAAAGGGTCACTCTTTTCCCAAATTGTAACGTATCGCCACCAAGTTATATGAAGCGGTGGCTTCTCCTTATGCCCTTTTTATCCAACGGTCTTCAAATCGTACTTAGCCCCAAGACTTGACGTATTCAAACACCGAGCGCAGCATATTTGTTTGCAGGACTGCGCGCTGAGGAGCTACTTGCCCTACGGCAGTATATTTAGTGTGTCGTGCGTCGCTTTATTTATTGTTATTACACGTCAGATTTTACCCAACTAGGCCCGAGAACAAATCAACCGTGAAATTTATGGCGACACACAATGGTGACGGGTCTGACAAAGTGCACGTCCATTAGGATAAAGTGTCCTAGGTGGGAAACCAGGAACAAGGGGACCGTTCCTCAGCCGGCGTCATGCCTATTGTTTGTTCGTACGTACATATATACAATGGATTCTGGTACGATACATTATGCTATTTATGATACCTAGCATTTATGCGGTTTAGTCTGTTAACCCGGCACCGCCTGGGCTATTTCCGTACCCACGACAGCCTGGGGGGAGGGGTCGGATCCGACCCCCCCCCCCTGTTATCTCGAGAACCAGTGGTCGCATCGAGCCCCGCGAGGCGGCGTTCGAAAGGTCTCTACGAGACCTTCCCAAAGCACTCTAAAGATTTTAAGATTGAGGTGAACTTTTGGGTCAAGGTCAGGTCAAAGGTCAACTTCTGGGGTTTTGCATGATTAGGCTTACGGACAGCGGAATCGATAGCTGCTGCTCGAAACTCATCAAAAATGACCTCAAAGGCCTAGTGAAGGTACCATGTGCGTATAGGGGCCGTACTAAGTACGGGTCAAGGTCAGGTCAGGTCACGAAAGGTCATGGTTTTCACTTTCTGCTACATGGGCGTGCGACACATGTTTTATGGCTTATTTTTCACGCCGAATCCGATGGTAATGGTTATATGTGACCCCAAGTCACTGTGCTGGTGATAAGTGTGCATTGAAAGCATAAAAAATCGTTTATACCATACATAACTAAACGAGGGCTGAGAAAAAATGGTCAATTTTTCAACTTTTTATTTTTGACATAAAAATGCACTTTTCTAGACGAGCTTTGTCCCCGGAATCTAGTGGTGCCATTTGTTTTCACATGCGATGTACAGAAGTGCCTCTAATTCACGAAAATGTTTATGACGTCACAATGCCCTATGCATGTTGGAGCTATTTTTTACAATTTGGGGGTCAAAAATCAAGATAGAAAGTTGAAATTTGGGACATTTTATGTTCTAATAGAGCTCTATAACATACATTCCGGTTTTTGGAAATTCTCAAAATTTTGGATTTTATTAGCTGTTTTCCAAAAAATGTAGTTTTTTGAATTTATAGGGGTGAAAAACGCATTTTATGGAAAATCCGAGATAGCCATTTTAAAGAACTTATTAAGCTGCGTCTATTCATGTCCTTAATTTGCAATTTGCTTTAAATCCTGATTTTTGGCGATTTTTTAAACATTTACCACTTTTTGACTAAAAACGCCATGTAGTTACATTACTGAAATCGATATATTTAAAAAAAAATTGGAAATTTTTTCTTAAAAATTACACAGAAGACGTCAAATTGATGGGGGATAAGGTATGCCAAGTTTCAAGTTGATAGCGTAAGCGGTTCTTGAGTTATTCAAGAAAAGACGGAGGGGGGGGGGTCGGATCCTATCCCCCCCCAGGCGGTCGCGGGTTAAGTTTCGATGCAGCGGCAGTCATATAAAGTCCAGGCAAAGTTGATTGATGATAAGAACTGCTCGATCAAAATCAATCGAGAGACGAGATTCAATGAAAGAAGTGGATTATTATTCAGATCGAGTCGAAATTGTTCTCAGAAAGGACAGTTGGGACTTAAATATCGACTTAAAAATTCTTCTGATAAAGCAAAGCAATTTAGCTACAACAATTTTTACCTAATCCTGGATTTTATTTTCGAGTTTCGTCCCTGCTGTATGTAGGTGTAATATTCTTCCTTGGTGTGTTTCTTACCTTTCACCTATAACTATAGTACCTATGTAAGTAATGTAGAGTAATGTAGATAGTATGCATATAGTAATGTAGATAGAATGTAGTATATAGTAATGTAGTAGAAGTAATGTAGATACATGCATATACATGCATGCATATAAAGGTGAAAAACTCAGTTCTGATCTGCGCTCTATAAAACAGTCATCAATCTCAACCGATTCAACCTTTGGTCAAATCAGCTGCGGTGAATGTTCCATCCGGTGTTCAGTTCGCGACAACAGTGATAAATGTTGTCCCGCTTCCGGACTTCGCAATCTTGATTGAGGTGAGTGATTATCCCAATAATCACCACTTCTCAGGGGAACTCGGACAGTTCAGTGCTATATGGGTTTGATATGCATAAAGGCTACCTATAGATAACGTAGCCGCAGGTTGTTTGAAATACGAGTAGACAAACACTATTCGTTGGCATTGTATTTTTCTATTGAAAAGAACCGGATAATTCATGCATATCAAGCAGTATCCTACGACACCATTTACTCCTCGTTCCGTGTACCGCAGGCGCCTCCATTGTTCCGGGTGGTCCCCATCTTTCAGCAGCCTACACCACCACCCTGTCGTTCGCCCCCAATCCCTCATCCTGTTAGAGACCTACACTCCCGACGTTGAGCCTCTAGCGCCCTCCCGTACGTGCTCCCTTCCTCCCCAGCCGCAGCGGCACCCCACGAGAGCCCGGCACCTCGCCCTCCTCCCCTGAGCGCAGCGTCGAGATCGATGCGTCGCTGTCGTGCCGCAGATGGAAATCGTGTTTTGTCTGGAAATATTCGCCGCCGTGCTGAGATCAAGGTCCCAGGCCGGGCGGGCCGGGCACGAGCGGGCGTCAGCCATTGTGGCCAGTCCGGAATGGATGGCGGCTCGGCAGGCGGCGCCGCCTCTCCCGACCAGGCGGATGCTGCCGCCGGCCCCCCGGTCCGGGTCGTTAACCTGATATCGACGAGCCCCGCCGGGAGCCGTGCATCTTTGCTGATCTTAAATGGTGATTTATGCGGCTAAGGGCCGTTCTCGCAACGTCCCACACATTTTGTATTTTCAATGCTCGCCTGTCGGGGAGGTGAGTTGCAGAGCTGAGAGTTGTTCGGTGCTGCATGAAAAATCTTGGAGCTGTCTTCAGTTGTCTGGAGACGTTTAGAGCTAATTAGACTCGCTAGTGTCCATGCTGTCTGGAGCTATAAGCACCAAGTGAAGCTAACTTTAACTGTCTGTTGCTGAACAGAGATGCCTGAGTGCCTGAGGCTGACGGGACCTGTCTGGAGCTGACAGACAGGGAGCTGAATGAATTTCGCAGAAACCTGAGCAGCCGGCGGCGCTGTAACTCTCCTCTCGTCGGGCGCTGGGCCAGCCGCGAGGCTCTGATCGCACTCATCATCGCCGGCCATCCCGGGGGCGATTGCTGATCCAATCTGTCGTCCGGGAGAATCCTTTCTTCCCGCCAAAGACGGACAGAACCAATCTGTGGAGGAGCGGCGCGGTATTTCTCCGGTGGCTCCGCGGCGCGGGGACGTCTCCATCACGACGGAGCTGCTGTCAGCCGTCACTGAGGCCAGAGGGAGCCGGCGTCTACCGGAAGCGGGGAAACTCGCCCCCCTGTTTTCAGTTACATTACAGCAAGGCAAGGAGTGCGATATAGCGTAAGGGTGATGTGAGGATACTGGAACGACCTGATAGTGACACGACATGTGATTTCGGCGTTTTGTGAGTTATGCGTTAAAAAAAAAAAAAAAAACTGAGCAAAGTAGCTATTTGCGGGAGGTAAAAGTATGAGATGTAAATAACCCCAAATTTAATGAAAGCCCTCCAGACGTAAAAGTCGAATGTCAGAGGATTGGTTTACCTTGATCATCAGACGAAAATCTGCTACGCATAAAATCTTAATTTCGACACACCATGCACTGTAGAGTGTAGAGTGCTGGTGCACATATTCTTCTTGGCTAGCCTAAAATACAAGCCTGTATATTGAGCCCATATCAGTGAACACTTGTCTCACAACTCATTATTTGTCTTGCTAGAAAGAGCATTACAGGGCTTGATACGCTTATGATGCTCAATGAATCGGGTTGATGAGCGATGCTCAAAAGCAGTTCGGTGTCGTTCTAGAGACACTATATCTCACTTAGACGGTAGACCCCTACCGGGATGGCTCTCAAGCTTAATTAATTGACATGTCACTCTTAGGATTTAATCCTGAATTTAGGCCTGGCGCGTGGCAGAGATGGAATTATTTCGTTGATAGAGTATGCTACGAAAAACACTGGCCATGCGTATATAAAGAAATAAAAAATAAAGAAACCTGTACTTTCCACCCGACCCATATATGGCACAATTTCAGCTAAACCGAGTCCATCATATGCACTTTTGGAAGTAAATGCCCTGGAAATTCCGTAATCATAATTTGTCTGACCGTCTACTTTTAGAAACGCTGACCAAGCTGGGTCAGACATGCATACAAATGAGACCAGCTCATTATCTAATGCTGGTGATTAGTGTGACTCCCACCCATGGCACGCCAGCCGTCACCATCAGACGACCGACCCAAACACAGGCGCGGCCGTCCGGCGGTCCGACAGCGCCTACTGCCTAGTGCCCACCGTGGCCATCGCTGTTCATATAGGGTGCCTGGCCGCCACGGTGTGACATATAGCTGCATTTGGACTTTGGCCGAACTTACATATCACACCAGGTAACGTCGAATGGCCAGCAGATAGCTAAGTACGAAATATTCGGTAGACTTAATTAATTTCTAGTCTCTAGGTATTCGTGCGCTGGAGACTTTACGCACTTTAGACCCTGGACAATAGACAGAAGACCCACCGAAGCTTGTTGTCTAGTGCGCCCATCCTTACATCATAACAGCCCATAATCCAAGTAATGGTGTAATAAACACCCGCGCTAAAAGCGACGCTTCCATAAAAGACCCTCACAAGCTCCGAGTTTATATTTCATAAAAAGAGAGCACATCGATTCTATACGACATTCAGCAAGAATGGATACGCCAAGCACCCTATCAAAATATAATACGTAGCTGACACTGTTTGAGTGTGTTAAAAGACACAACATGGAATGCCCAACGATATTGTTGTCTGGATGTCTGTTGTCAAACAATAATTCTGAACACATATACCAACACGGAACACGGCGACACCCTGCTTAGTGAGTCATTTCGGTTGCATAAAATGATCCTTAATATTTGCTGCAACAAATGCATATTACATACATGAAACATATGATATACGAAACATACATGCATTGACGACTATGATCTCGTAATATCATCCAACAAATGGTTACTGGCGTAGGTACCCCATTGACGCTCTGGAAATCACGGACCAGTCGGCCTGTCTTCAAGGATAGGAGTCTGATGCAAAATATCCTGCAATTTCACATGCAGGCATCTTTCTCATGACTAGAAATACGATTTGTTCATTACCTCCCCCAGTGTATATCTACAGCACTAAGCAGTTTGACGATGATTCTGAAGCAAGCCACCGACAAAATACACGGCACTGATATGTCGAGAGTCGAACAGATTGCAGCCGTGGCTGTCAAGCGCAGCATCCGGCAAATGCCCACGCCGGGTTCGTCCATGATTTTGGCCTTTGTTGCCAGACGGCAAACATTCGCTCGGAGCTGTCTCAAACTGAGAAGGTCATGACCTCTCTCGGCGCCACAGTGCACCCTGTCTGGCAGACGCAATATTACACATTCCAGGAGCGAGGCCGGTGGATTCGGGCAGAGGGCAGAGGGCAGAGGGCGCAGGGAGGAGGGATTGCGGGCGGATGGTGGCGCGGTCAAACTGTACCCGGGGGAAATACGGGGCCCGCCAGACGTGTGGCGAGGCGAGAGCCGGTGGTGCTGCCGCCGTAACGGTACCTGTGGCTGTCGACGACCGCTGAAGACCACCGTCGGGCCGAGCCCGGAGGAGATAACAGCGCATCAGTCGGGCGAGCGCCGGCGGAGCGAGATTGCGGCCTCCGACACCGCGGCGGGATTTTGGCGAGATTGGAGCTGGGACGTAAACTGGGATGAGATAGGTTTCGATGGAGTCAGCAGTTAATGATGGAAAGGTTCTGAATGGAGTGTGTAAAAGTTAGGGTCAGATGACTTATAGATGGTCCTCTAAACCCAATATATCAATCAGACAAAGTTTGTAACTCATAAGTGTGACCCTGTCATAATAATTCAGATCATTTCTGCGCCCGTTGCATGCATCAGCACATTAATCAATCACACACATCAAATCAGTAGCACTGACTGAGTGCAGCCAGCCTGGAGACGCTCCATTGCATCTCGATCTGTAAATCCCAGGAACTGTTGCAGTTCCACACACCCTGTGATTCCGTTTACCAGTTTCTTCAACATGAGTGCGCTGACTGGCGCTGTGGCGCAGAGGACGTCACCACGGAGATGAAGACTGGCGGCAACATCTCCGATGCTTTCATTGCACAAAAGGTGCCAAGCCAAGACAAACAGCATTGTTTGTCGTGAGTTGCCCTATCGCAGTCCAAAGCATCTCCAGCCACTGGCGACCGTTCAGCCACCTCTGCGAATCATTGAGTCGCATGCTAGTCACTTGCATACTCATTGCTAATAATACACGCTACATAATAAAACCACTGAACATCATTATCATCACGGCCATCCAATTTACGTACTTAGGACACATCCATCTCTCACTTGATGCTCTCAAACCAGTTTAAGAACCCATCTTTGAGAGTCCGAAGTTTCAGAGAAAAGTATCTGAAGCACACACAGTTATTTCACCTCATTGCGCGAGTCTCCTTTGACCAGGCGCCACTCAAAGTGACTGACTGGCAGGCCTTGTGCGAGAGTTCATTAACCCGGCACTCGCTCAGACGTGACTAAGCGGCAGGGACTTGTGGGAGAGTGCCGGATTTGGCTCACTCAGCGTGTGCGATGTCGTCTGCGAAAAGGTCAGGTTGGACTGCATCAGCGGCCCCTGTGACGAGGTAGCCGGCAGTCCGCTGCCCGTCTTGCCCGACTGCAGAGACTGCAAAGTGGGCGCCTCGTACCTGCGGGCCAGCGGCGCCGGCGCCGGCGGTCGCCGACAGCCCAGCAGCACGCACCACGAGTGCAGCGTCTTGCGCGACCACACCCAGATGATGGAGGTGACGCCGACTGCCAGCGACATGAAGTAGCGCAGCAGGAACAGGTGGAAGTTGGGCACATCGTCCGGCTCGGCTTCGCACGGACAGACGAGCCGCCGCTCCCAGGCGGGTCGCTGGTGCTGCTCGTACACCAGACAGGCGATCACCACCGAGGCCGGCACCGTGTATAGCACCGAGAACACGCCGATGCGGAACATCAGCTTCTCCAGCTTGTCTCGGTTGCCGCGATCCTGCTTGATGACGCTGCGGATGCGGAAGAGGGAGACGAAGCCGGCCAGGAGGAAGGAGGTTCCCAGCAGGAGGTAGGCGACCAGCGGCGCCAGCACCAGACCTCTCAAGTTGGCCAGGCTCTGGCCTCCAACGTAGCAGATGCCTGTGAGGCTGTCGCCGTCCACGGCAGCAGTGGCCAGCGCGGCGATCGCCTTACCGGCTGGTATCACCCAGGCGGCTAGGTGGAAGTATGGAGAGTAGCCGGCGATCACCTCGTTCCCCCACTTGAGTCCGGCAGCCAGGAACCATGTGAGTGAGAGCACGACCCACCACACGGCGCTGGCCATGCCGAAGAAGTAGACCAAGAGGAAGACGACGGTGCATAGAGCGGCAGCCGCCGGCCGGCCGGGTCCTCCTGCGGCATCGTATCGCACCAGGTCACCGTCGCAGGCGGTGAGCTCGTGACCTGCACCCAGACGTACCAGATACCCGACCGAAACCATGAAGTAGCAGGCAGCCAGGAAGATGATGGGTCTCTCTGGGTACTGGAACCGGCTGCGGTCGATCAGAAAAGTGGCCACGGTGACGGCGGTACTGACGGCACACAGTACCGCCCAGCTGAGCACCCAACGCTCCGTAAACTCATGCTGCGCAGCGGAGAAGTAAGGCGCGCGGCACGGCAGCGCGCACTCGGCCACCTCGCCCAGCGATACGGACCGGTTGAAGAGGCGGTGGCCCGGCTGCAGCGGCACCGCGCGCGGCCGCTCGCACTTGCAGCTGCAGGGCGGCGGTGGCTGCGGCCGGCGCGGCGGCGGCGGTGCCTGGCCGTTCTTGTTGTCCATGCAGAGGTTCTCCGGGTCCATGTACTCGGGCAGCCGGTCACAGTTGAGTCGCTCGGGCCACGTGAAGTCGTAGGTCATCATGAACGGCTCGCAGCCGGCGCGGGCGCGTTCGCACACGGAACGACACACGGGGATGGTGCGCTGGTGTGACTCCAGGCAGATGGGCACGTACGTGGCGCAGAGGAAGAACTGCAAGTCGTCTGAGCAGTTGATCTCAACCAGTGGCCAGTACTGGTGGACCTCCAAACCTGCCTCCTCCTGGGTGTCGTGGTAGAACTGGTTCGGCATCATGGTCACGTTGTAGCCGATCTTGCGACACATGGCGATTGTGATTTTCTGACACTGAAACGGCGGCTCCTGCGCCAGCATCGTCGGCGACAGCACGAGCAGAACAAACAGCCAGGTTGCCATGGCGACGAGAAGAGGCGGCGGTCCTCGGTGACTGGTGGTGAGACAGCGGCTACAGAGAAGCGGTGACGCAGGAAGGGGACCTCCCGGCTGCTGGCCCGGCGCACACTGGGCGCCTCGATGATGGATTATAAATCCATACCAGCGCCACAGTGCCTCCCCGACCGTCCGAAGGGGACCTGCAATCGAACAAGGAACCCATTAGTGCCGGAACACAAACAAAGAACACACCACGGAATACGATAGCGAGACTGTGTGGCGATACGTAAACACTCATTTCCGGCGTCCACTGTGAATGGAAATTGTGGTAAACATAGCACCATAGAAGATATCGGTATGTGGGTTACGCTTTTAGTAATATTTCCCGGCTGTTGCTCGTGCCAAAAAGGCGATTTTTATTTATGTCCGACCCTTATGGTCGTTTTCTGGTAAAATACGATAAATAAATGATATTGATGGGTTTATGCAAAATAAATGGTTGGAGTGGTATGGATTTAGCAGCTGTGAAAAGAATGCATACATCGTCTAACATTGGCCATAAACAACCAAAATTTGTATTCGGGTGAAAGTGATTCATTATTCATGGGTTGTAAATTCTGCACACACTATGACAGCCGCTGGTATGTTTATGTAAAACAGAATATAACCTAAAACAAAAAGTTATTTCATACTTCTGGAATCACTAATGTTTGAGAATCACATCGTAAATCTAAATAAGTAAACACACATAAAACTATGTGACACATCGCCTAGCAGGGGCGGACCAAAACAGCGTCGTGTGTTCGCCGCCGTCGTCGGCAAGTTTCGCGGTCCATCACCCCACAGCCGTTCAAGTATCGGCCTAGTCTTGCAGCCGACAATCAACGCCATGGCTCGGAACGTAATTTCCTACACCATAAATCTGCCAAACGACCTCCGAAATAAAAGCCCGACCGCCTCGTCGGCCGCCGGCCTCCGGCGAGCTGTTGGGAACCAATCTGGCGTGACGGGCCGGCGGCCGCAGAATGTTTCAATGTTTCACAGTTTCGCCCCGTCTCGGCCGCCAACGGGAGACACAGGCGTTCAAAGGAGAGGAAACACACGACTCTGGCCATTTGGCGAGATAATGGCGCTATTAAAGGGTCGTGTAAATTTAGGAGAGTCCTGGGTCTGACGGGAACTTTATGGAGCCCATTTATCGACAGTCATTGGGAAACAGTGCAGCATGGCTGGCGATATGTCCCCCGCTAACAAATGGGCTAGATGAGACCACTAAGGTTCAACTATCAGGTGCAGTTGGTTAAATACATGCCATGGGTGGTAATACATCGGAACTATAGGATTCCTTCTAGCAGAAAGTTTCATATTTTCGGTGTTTAAATCACAACAAGACTGTTTTGCACAAATAAGTACCTATTGGGTTCACTGAATGCCGACGAGTACTCGAAACAATCTTAACATCTGGGCGTAAAATACTAAGAAACTATAAAAAGTTAAAAGGGAAACAACCTCTTATTCATATTTGCCAAGGGAAATCCTAAGTCTAATTCCTGCATACAATGATTTCCTCATACGTTTCATCCACTTTCCTTCAAAGTTACGGGGCCCTGGCCGCACAATGATAAATCACGCTATTAAGTCGACGGCACACCGTTAACTCAAAGTAAAACTGTGGGATGAAAACTTTGATGGCATCGGATAGGCAATCTCCAGCTCTTCTCATTCCAATTGCCGCCATTTATCCTTCTGTCACAAAGGCGCACGAAGCTTCCGGGCACGCTTTGCCGGCCAATCAGCGACGATTGAGGTGCAGGCGGTAGGATGCTGTGCCGCAACACATCGAGAAACGGCCAATCAGGACCGGCTACTGGCAAAAGCTACGATGTTTTGCCTGGTAATTTTCTGAAGGATGTGCTACGTTTTCGACGGAACTTCTAGCAATTTTCGAGCAAATTAGTTAGTTTTAGTTATACCTATAACGTTTCGGTACTATGTAAATTTAAAGATTTTGTATGTTTACAGCAAATACATTAAGCCAACGATATCTTGCCCTGTTTATAAAGCCAAATCAATAACCGCAATCAATCATAATGACATGACGTAGCAACATCGCCTGGACGCAGATTGCAAAAAAGGTGGTCGTTTTCCATTAGGTTGTGGCGCGCTGGTAATCACGAGCTCGATCGAAGCTCATCAGCAGGGTAAAGCAGCGTCCAGGGAGCTGAGCTTTTGTGTGGGGAAGAGAGCTTCAGGAAGCGGCTGGTAGAGCTGAGGAAAGAGCACAGAGGATGTTTGGAAAGGTGCGTGGAAGGGGAAATTACTGGTAACGTACCCAATGAGCGAAATGACTGAAAATATAATTGTAGTATGCACATTACAATAAAGACAATAGATATACCCGAACGACAAAGGAAGATGACTCCCGAGATATGTAGAAAGATAAGAGGGAGAAACAGAAAGACAGCATGGAAGACGATTGTGAAATAAACATGATAAACATCTTGGAAGCATTCGAGGCTATGCTTGGAAAGACACCACTATTAGGCAATCTGTCTGCCAGCAATGAACATCTAGGTTACATCCAAGGGCATGGCTGACAAGAAAATATGGGAGATGTCGGACAAGGTCTCCGAGATGAAATTACTTAAAAAAAAACAAAGAAGACTTGGTGAAATTGTCCAGAAAAAGGCAGCAAATATAAAAGAAGTCTAGCCCAAGAAGCCACAAGGGAAATCCACGGTTAAGGCTAAGCAATGTCATGGAGTGTGTTAATGGGATGCGGTGGTTTGGAGATGTTGCTAACAATTAAACAAAAAAGCTACTTGATTAAACATTAAAGTTACAACAAATAACTTCATTGCTGAAGCGACATTCTAAAAAATAGCAATACGGGAGATATCAAACAGGGAGGCAAGGCATCTGATGGACATACCAGCAGTTCAGCTGGGAGACAAAGCTGATAATGGATCATGATTCTCTGATTCACCTCAGCGAAGGCGACGGACTGCTGATGACAATAATGTATCGTCTTATAAGAATGGTTAGGTGATGTGAACCGTCCTTTTTAAAGTTACGGGGCCCTGGCCGCACATCTGGCCGCACATCATGTGGCACATCATGGCCGCACATCTCCCGCGGAGATGTCAGGTATGCACTCGTGTCGCTGTGTCGCTGACGGTGGGAGGTGCTGCAGTAGACCTACTGTCCTCCCGGTCCCCATGCCGGACGACCTGGCAGAGTGGCCGGAGATGGAAGGAGATGGAACGCGAGACCGGCAGCGGCGAGACGGAACGAGGGGTGGGGTGGTCCATGGCGTGGATACTAGAGACAGAAGAGTTTTTGCATTTTGTGTTCAGAAGCAGTTCAGTTCTGTCAGCTGTCCGACTTCCTCCTAGGAGTGCACGGAAGCTGAATATTGAATATTAAGGATGTTAAATGAGGTTACAAATGCCCCAAGTATTTACAATAATAAAAAATATTTAACCCTCGCCCGCACATGGGGGGGGGGGGTGGTTGCCACCCCCCAGGCAGTCTTTCTGCTCTGCACTCAACATTTTTAGAGCTAGAAGGCTGATTTTTCGTATAGCTGCTCGTCTATCCTTTCTTGATGTCCACTGAAAATTTCAAGTTTCTGTGATTTTTGGTTTCGGAGATATGACCTTATTTTTCAGGTCATGTCATGACCCAAATGGCCAATTCTCAACATCTTGCGTTTGCCATGGGCCTTGTGAGCTTTTGACACCCTGATTTCGGCCTTTTTTGCCAGTCTTACATCCCTCCTATCATGGAGCATGTTGTTCGACGATGTACAGGGGTCAAGGTCAGGGTCAAGGTCAACCTAGGTCATCTAAGATAATTGCGTTTTAGGCAAGCTGAATTTACTTTTTGTGAAGTTTTTTGACTGCATTTTTGGTAAAAGCTTCTCAGAACATGATTTCATGTGATATGGACCCAAAAACAATCGGTGCACACATCAGTATACACACAGACACACACAGACATACAAATACATATAATTGACCTTGACCTAACTTGACCTGAAATGACCTCAGCAGCAAAATTCTGGTCGGATAGTGCGACAAAGAGGTTCTAGCTGGCTTGGCACCAGAAAACAGCATCGTCATCGGTATTTGATAAGCAGCGCACTTGATATCCAACGGTGACCCAAAACAGCAACATTTTTTAGTTTGACCTGACCTGGAAGGTCAATGACTGACCTGAGAAGGTAAAACTGGGTATCATTGGATTCGTCTCTTCCCAAAGAATCTTTTTGGTCTTTACTGCTAAGCTCTATCTCTAACAGAAACGAAATGGCGCGGGGGGGTGGCAACCACCCCCCCCCCCCATGTGCGTTCTAGGATGGGAAAATGGCATGTGCGGGCGAGGGTTAATGGTTTGGCGAAGAACCGAATTTCTATTTGAATGTGCAAAACAATTGTCAAACCAATAAAATTTAACAAATTGCCTAGTTCCCATATAAGTATGACTAAATCCGTAGATGGCTAGAACATACAATTTACAATTTTCCCTCTCGCCCGTTCAGGTACTGGTGTGGAGTTGTAAGCTAGGAAAGAAAACGGCCATTCATAAAACATTTATGGACATTTAGTAGTTAGGGGAGGCGCATCACAAAATGCAGTTTCAGTATCCAGCCGTCAAATAAATGTACAGTCGTAACAGTATATTCGCGCCTAGTCCCGGAATTCCCTAGCACCAAGTCCACCCATCGCCCGAGTTATAGCACAACAACAACATTTACTGACCACTGGGAGTGCTTTATTGGCACTAAAGCTGGCGGCTTACGCTGTTGATGTTCGTCCACGGGTCGACCTATTTTACTCGGCCCCAGAGAGCTTGGCGCGTCTCGCTGCCTGCTTACAGATGGCCCAGACGACGGAAGAGCTCATAGACTCCTGAGCCGGCCGAACGGCTCCAAATATACCGGCAACACTGAAGGCGGCCGGCGCAACTAAAGCGCCTCATTTTCGGGCGTGTCCGCGCGCGCCACAGCCTGGGAAGTCGACCACCGGACGGCCGGCGCCGCTGCCCTTTACTGGATGACCCGGCAAATGGAGCCGCTAAGCCCGACATCTGCATACACGGTCAGTTCCTGCCGCGACATTTCAGCCCATATTGACCGCCTACCGAGGTACGCTAAAGCCCTGCTTTCCGACGGCCCAGCAGGGATTCGGTGGGGCCG